CTTTGATGTTTGGTGCATGGTGAAGTAAATACAGAAATACTAATAAGTTGTCCACTGGAAAAGTGTTGGAGTTGTGTACAACTCCTTGTGGTATGCAGATTTGCCTTCTACAATGAAGTGTTCGTCGAGTGTAATTCTATATTTTGGGCTTTTATTTGTTCAGGGTTCTTGGTGACATTCTTTCTCTTACGTTTAGCATGTGGAGAGTTAAAGTATACAGCTTTTCTCTTTTTCTTGCCATCTCATTGTTTTCCAGAAATGTGGAATGACTTTTAGATTTTCTCTGAAAAAGTGCACTTTATGGTTGTATCTAATTTGTTTTGTTGCATTGATAGGTTGTCAGAACTGTTTTGTATCTTATATGTGGATGACAGTAGTTTCTTTGTTACTGGGACAATATTTTGATGGCATTCACACACATGTCCCTTGAGATTCTACGAAACCTCGTGATACATTTCCCAGGACCCATTTGGATTTTGTCCTGCATAATGTCTTTCTTGAGAATTTTCATCCAGTTTTCTCCAGGTGAATTGTTATAATGCTTATACCCATTTTCTAAGACGAAACCTGTCCACAATGGTGCTATTGTCATGTATGCTGTTATGATGTATTTGAGTACTGTAGGGTTGTGGAATTCATTGGTTTCACCAATAACACCAGTATTAAAATCAGCTCATATTGTATTTACTCATTAAGTTGTTGAAAATGCTTTACAAAGACTGATTTGCTTGAGTCCATATTCAAACTCATTATCAAGAAATTAATCATATTCCAAATGAATCACTTGGGATTCAATGTCTAGTTTCAACTGTGCAAGGCTATATTCTTGATGACTTGCAGTGGTTGGACAAAGAAGGATGCCCAGGAAGCTAAATGTTGAATTAAGTTCCTCCAGAAATGTTCAGTAATTTTATGAAGCAAGTGTGCTGAGCATATGTGAATGACCATCTTTTCTCCCCCATTAATATTCCTTCCCATGAACAGTCTAGGTAAGCGGAGATGTTCTCTTGGTTGAATGACAACAATGTGGCACGAATGAATGCCCAACTGTAATTAACCTCTATATGCTGAGGCGATGTGGTCCATGGTCGTATTTGATGTAAATATCGATTCATATGCATAAGAAAGTTACATACATCAGCAGTGTTGTGGTTGTTGCTGATAATTTCTACTACTGGTAGTGGTAGGTCACGTTTCTGTTGCCCATTAGGCATTACTGAATAATACAGCACTCCCTTTCCTTGTTCAGGAGGCCCAGGTGGTTAGGGAGCTCACAATCTGAGGTTAGTGGGTTCAAATCTCCGTCCCACCAAACATGCTCGCCCTTACAGCCGTGGGGGCGTTATAATTTTATGGTCAATCCCACTATTAGTTGGTAAAAGAGTAGCCCAAGAGTTGGCGGTGGGTGGTGATGACTGCCTTCTATCTAGTCTTTGTCTGCTAAATTAGGGACAACTAGCGTAGATAGCCCATCGTGTAGCTTTGTGCAAAATTCAAAACAAACCAAACCTTGTTCCGGAATCCTGCTTATAGCTGTACTAGTATTATCGAAATAGAGAATTGTTTTCTTATTAGCAAGTATTATTAACTGTTCCTTTCGATGTTGATGAACTTCTGATGGGAAGATAGATAGATACTGGATGCAACCTCTTATTGCACAAGGATCATCATCGAAATTCTCATATATTTCCTTCAGTAATGTAACTTTGAGAATGACGTCTTTGTGTAATCTCTTCGAAATGTTATTTTCTGAGGACATTTTCTGCATTACGTTGGTTGTCCTAAATCTTGAAGTACTGCTGGCTTCGTAGGCTCTCAGAACCTTGAGCTAAGCACTGGTAATTTGTACTTGATGAGCCAATCCAACTGATTTTAGTAACTGCCAATCTACAACCCATCCTTCTTATTGGTCTGTCTATGGTGAATCCTACATCATGCCAGACAATAGTATATGGACTTACCGTTGATACCCTGACCTTCACTGACTTTTCCTGTTCTAGCTCTATTTATTTTGAAAATGTTTTGTATATATTCTGGAAACATACAAACCACTTTTCCAGTAAAGAGAGAGCAGTGTTTTTTCCGTGTACCTTACAGCACAATATGGTTTTCATTGAAGGATAAAGAGCACATTGGATTCTCTGAAGCAATTTTATGCACAAGTAGATTACTCCAATTACCTGTTAACATTCTCTTTCTTCTTTCATCAACTTTTATTGTGCTACTTTTCCATTTCTTAAAAGGAATATTAAATCAGAATTTGTCCTATATTTTTTTTCTGAAATGAATATTTAGATCATGCATCACCAGTAACAACATTTTTACTATACAAGCCTTTTCCTTGCATATCGTTATATGTACAATTTTTTCCTATTGATATATCGGTTTCTCCTTTTCGTTCTATTCCAAAATCAGTAAGTGTATTTTTTGACAATTTTTGGTGATTTAAACACCACATTCATGGAGACTCTTCGGGAATTGAAGTATTAGGATTCAACATATTTATTTTGCTAAAATAAAATTGAAAAACCAAAAATGAAAGAGGAACCAATTTGTTTCTTTTTCTAAAAGAAGCCTCATTCTGTTGCCGACGCAAAGCAAGCACAGTCCTATTTTAAATATCATGATCAGTTAAAACAGCTGCTAAAATCATTCAGATTAGCCTATCAAATATATAATACGATTTTGGTTGGACTTTTTCTATTTAAACAGAATAGGCTAGTAACATTAGCAACATTTCACTTGTATTTATGAAAAATAATCAGAAGTGAACTTAAACTTAAACGCGTTTTTAACAGCTGTCGAGTAAGCTAACGTTAAACATTGGCTATATTATTCTAAAGAAATAAAATTATGACGTGCCATGTTACAATAGGTGTTCCCTGTATTTAACCATGAAAATTGTTAGGCCGTCAAGAAATTAATGTCACTTTTTTAGATGAAAACCCAAACAACTTGTATATCAAAACAAAACATTTATTAAATGAAATAATCTCCATTCTTATTGATGATGCTTTTTCATCTTACAATGGCCCGATTAAAGACACCACTATCCCAAAAACAATGGCTCGGTCCTAGACAAAAAACCACTTCTGACCCCAAAACCTGGTCTCCATTTGCAGAAAGTGATGCTTTGCATTTGAATGGACATCAAAGGATTAATTCATTTCGAACTTCTCAATCTACAGCAAACTGTCAATGCAGATATCTGTAGTCAGTAACTGGAACATTTAAATCAAGTCCTTCATCAGAAACGCCCATCACTCACTAATCGGAAAGGTGTTCTTCTCCACAACAATGTACGTCCACATGTGGCACGTATGATGCAACACAAGATTATGAAGTTGGGTTGGGAAGTTCTTCCCCCCACTCACCATATTCTCCAGCTATGCCACCATCAGATTACCATATTTTTCGTTCTCTGCAACACCATCTTAATGGGAAAACGTATGCAAGTGTGGGAGGCGTTAAAGAGGACACCGACATGTTTTTTGCTTCAAAACGTTTAATATTCGCATAGAGAATCCATTTTTCATCACCGGTGACAATTCTGTCCAAAAATGGTTCACGCGCATTACGCGCCAGAAGAGACGAAGCAACGTTCACACATTGGAAACCATGATCATCGGAGAGTTCGTGAGGCACGCAAACACCTTCTTTATAGAGTTTTCCCATATTCCTTAGTTGTTTACATATTGTTTCATGAGAGACATGCAACTTCAGGGCCATTTCACGAGTGTGTTGCCTTGATTTCCATTCAACAAGAGTCTTCAGAGCATCAATATCAATTCCAACATGTCGGCCCTTGCCATCACAGTTTTTAAGACTACAATCACCTGAACGAAATTTGCTGAACCATCGTTGACACTTACGAACGTTCAAAACATTTCCATAAACTTATTTAATATTCTTTGTGGCTACAGAGACGTTGTTTCTCTTGTTGTATTTACACAGCATTACATACCGAATGTGTGTCTCGTCGTGTGCAATCACTATAAGGGATTAGAGTATATTAAACTTTACACATTATATAGGCTATACTAATCTGACGTTTAGTTTAACTATTATACATGATCTACGTATTTAAGGGGGGGGGGTAATGAAAGTGTTCCAAAATGTGACATTAATTTATTGACGACCTAATATATCATTCGATTACAACACCATTCTCAATTTGCTCCCTGAAGAAGAAAGGTCCAACTTTCGAAAGCTCTCGGGTTATAAGGTTATTATTCATTTCTATCTAAATACCAACTTTAGTGTGAAGACGGTTTCAGCTTTGAGTCCGAAGTTGTTGGTCAACTGATAACCACTGGGCTGGTTGAAATGCGTTACTTAGCTTTATTGGTTGTGGAAAGTGTTGTTTAAGAGTACTTAGCTACACAATGGGCTATCTGCTTTCTGCCCACCACAGGGAATCGAATACGAGTTTGAAGCCCGTAAAATAGAGAGATGAAGCACCAAAACTTCGTAGAGAATAAATTGTAGTCTATTCATTTAACCATACGAAACCGCATGGATTTAGAAAAATTTTCCTGGATCACAAGTTTTGGTTGAATGGTATCTACGTTAATAAAGGCCTAATGGCTAAACATGCGATAGGTTTAGCATCACTAGTTATAAGACATTTGCTCCAGGCTATATAAATGCGATCGGCTCTTTGATTTGTGCTCACTAGATTTAGGTGATTTAATGGGGAAAATAAAAAAATGAAATGCATTTCATTTACGAGTAACTGGTATGTAACGTACATCATGTCATAAAGCTTTAGTATCTGAAAGAAAAGTCCGAAGAAAACTTATTACTTAAAACGAAGTTTATTAAAATTAGATATACCACTCTAAAGTGAAATTTTAACAGAGCACAATTTACAATTTCTCCATTATTCAGTCACTTCTATAAAATAATTCCACTGTGGAGATTACTTAATGCAGCAAACACCTTTCTGTGAGTGTAAAAAAGTGAATTGGGTATACAATAACAGTGCGACTAGGTTGAATTTAAGAACGTGGCCAGTACTCCGAGATCGGTCGACCAGTAACTTCTGTAATCCAGTCAAGATAATTTGTAACTCTGACATAAACACCAGGGACATTAGGACTACCGCAGCCAATTCCCCACGATACCAGGCCTGCCAATCCATAGGTACCGTCTTTTCTCCAGCAGGCTAAGGGGCCACCTCCATCCCCCTATAATAATAATGAAGATACTTATAATTTCATCTTCCTAGTGAATGATGATTTAATACTAAAGGAAAGAATGAAATTAAAGAATTTTCAGAAGTTAGTGAAGCAAAATAATTGCTGGTTATGAAAAAAAACAATAATCGAAATAAGAGGAAACATGCCATGTCAATGTCACAAAATGTGATCAAAATACACAAAACAAGACAGAACATTCATAAAGGAAAACTTCCCCAATAGTTCCGACATGTTTAACGACGCCATAGGGGAATGGGAAGTTCATGGGATTAAACTAATTGTTTTGTTTTGTTTGTAATTAAGCACAAAGCTACACAATGGGCTATCTGTGCTCTGCCCACCACGGGTATCGAAACCCGGATTCTAGCATTGTAAGTCTACAGACATACAGCTGTGCCACTGGGGGGGCATTAAACTAATTAAAAATATCCGAAGAGCCACAGACTCTGTAATCTTCAATAGACCAAGAGCTCTGAAACATCATGGTTACTTTCCTAAATATCTTCTCACAGCCACATTTACTTACTTCCATAATCCTAAACAGAAAGAGGTCCATTTAGAGATGGAATACTTTGATACACAACCCCCTCTACCCATTTTTAACTACTACAAAAATGTACTGAAGCATCTAACCATCTATGATTTGTGATAAGGGATTGCCCGTCATTTTTATAACGAACTCGCAGCTAAGAGTGAGGAATATCTTCTGGTATTGCAAGGATTTGAACCTAACTCGCTAGCTACGAAATTTAGAACCAAATTGCTACACGCTAAGTTCGATTAGTAGTCGTGTTCAATATGTGCAACAAAATATGTTGATCATTTTATTTGTGAAGTGGTTACTATGCATCGTTACTATTTTAATTTTTTTTATCCTCCACACCTCTACAAGTGAAATTGGCGTAAACCAAAAACAAAAGAAAAACAAACATTTCAGAATTATTTCCTCTAAACATGTTGGAGGTTTAACATGCAAAGCAACAGAGAAAGATTATTTAATTTGTTCACCGCAAAGAATTTAGCTCTGGATTTTAGTGCTGTAAGTCAGTAGCCTCAACATTGTCTAATCAGGAGACGATTATGGTTAAGATCCGTTGTTTTTTCCTTCTTAGTATAAAGAAGCACAATATGCTATTTACAGTGTGTTCATCGCGAGGAATCGAACACACGATTTTAGCATTGTAAACCTCGTCATCGGTAAGTTTACATTTATAGTGAATAATAGCAATATTTATTTACCGAGTATAAAATGCATTAAGTCTCGATGTAGCATTACCAGACAGAGATACGTGCTTTTCTAAAATTAGCAGTTGGCGAATTTATACATTTAAGCACTAGAAATGTTATAGAATTAAATCTTACTGCAAAGATCCAACTTTTAAACTTATAGGAACCAGAATACAAGGGAAGGGGTTTCAGACAGCAATTGTTTGTAAAGGTTTTTTTTCTTCCATAACACGAAGAGTAAATCAGAACCAAAACAAAGGAGCTAAACCATTGTTTTAGAGAAAAGATACAAGAGAATAGAGAGAGAGAGTGTTCAAGATCATTATCTCAAACAGTCAATAAACACCCGAATCAATTCGGCCAGGCTTTGATTTAACGTAATGTTATACAGCTACATTCGAGATCTCACTTCCATCATTACCAAGATACAAGGTCATAAAGAACCTAATAAGGTACAGTCACTACTATTACTTTTAAGTGTAGTCAAGATGACCATCGAACGTTTAAGATAACGTGCGGCTTTACGATATTTTAGAAGTCGGAATGTTCACTCGAAACTTTAGGTCTTCACAGAGGAATAGACCTGCGACCCGGAACACTCCGACTGAAATTAAGTCTTAGCAGATGCAGCGAACAGTCAAAATATAACATTCTGAACACAAAGTAAAGAAGTCTTATATTTTCCTGGAATATACCACAGATCTAAGAGTTCTTTGCAGCTGACTTTTTCGAAGATGAAGTATTTAGTCAGAAGCTTATCACATTAACTCGTATTGGACTATGGACTATTAAATTCAATCACGACCTGCAATTTCTCAGATTCAACAGTTATTATATGTACATAGGGTTAGAGTTTTATAGCGCAGGGTTTTAAAAACAGTTTGCACCATCAACGATAATTGTTTAAAAATTAAGTTTGTCTATTTTCGAAAATAAACATAGAAAAGAAAACCTTATCATTACATAGTATGCCGCACCAATATATAAAGTTTTAATACAAACCAATATAATACTATCGGTCTGAAAATTACCTTGCAAGAATCGGCGTTACTTTCTCCACCAGCACAGATAAAGTTTTCATACAAGATGAACCACTTACTTAACCTAGTTTTTCTCAGAAGCTGCTGACATTTATCGTTACTAATAACAGGAACATGGGCTTTTCTTAAGACATTGGTGTACGAACCATTTTCTGTTCAGAGAAATATTTCAATATTGTTGAATTATTGTATTTTTATGACAAAACAAACGTAAACCTGATTTGAAATAGATTGAGATAGTAACCAGTTTTTCCCGAAGTAAACAAAGCGATTATTACTTATTTCCCCCCCCTTCTTTCCGCTTCGAATATCACAAATTTTTAGATACAAGATAGTTTAAGAAAATATCATGTTCTTAGCCAAAAGTATAACTTACTGTAGGCATTCTTTCCCCAACCAGTAACCACACACTGAACACCTTCAAACTTTTCTTGATATTTTGGTAAACAGATGGTGTCAATATGAGGACCAAAGGAAACTTCCACTTTCAGTTTCAAAATAGCGATGTCGTCCCACAAGTTTTTCCTTTCATGATTATATTTAGAGTGGATGGAAATTTTTTCCACTTCATAATCTTCATGCTTCAAGAACTCATTAGTATTTTGGGTATCCCATTCTCCCAGTCGCACTTTCAAAGGAAAAGCATTTTCAAGCCTATGGTCAAATATATTAGGTTTGTATAATTATGAAATACGTTATAAAAGAGTGAATATCGAAAAAATTTCAAATTGGTAAACAAAGAACATCATGAAATTTGTATTTCATTATGTAGTAAGTTACTTTTGGACCCTTACATCAAATAATTTCATTCGTGACCGTGATATTATTTTCGCTTTTATTATCACTAGTAATTTGAAGATATGCAAAATAGGACTTGTACGAAATATTATGTCTACACGTTTTAAAAGAACCAAACTGAACAGTTCCGTGTAGACAGTCGTATGGATGAATGATCATTATTTTTCATTTTTACACAAGTATTTTGCTTTGTCATAGTTATATTATAAATTCGAATTCTGTAGATTTGTACATTGATAAAAAGAGAAAAACTAGATACAGTTTAACCACTTTCGTTTCTAGGGGGGGGGGGTATAATATGACGGTTAGGACGCTCGACTAGAAATCTATGGTTTCGAATCCCAATGAACGTGCTCGTCCCTTTCAGTCGTGGGGGTGTTATAATATGACGGTTAATTCCATTATTCGTTGGTAACTAGATTACAGATGTCGTACTTTTTAGTATAGATATTGGATTGTTGTTACTGGACTAGATAGAGGGTCATCTGTGCTCTACCCACCACGTGTATCGAAACCCGGTTTTAGCGGTATACGCTTTCTGATTTATTGCCAAGACACTGGAAAGGGGGGGGGGGAAGTACACCATATTATGAAAACAAAAGCGTTCATATAAATATTACATTAATTATTAAAATATATCAGAATTAAATGTCGGCAGGTTATAATATCGAGAGAGATCAATTATTTTGCGTGTCATCGACACTTCCCGCCATATTTACATACGCGTTTCTTAATTCTATTTAGGCTTTACATACTCCCTAAAAATATGGTAAAGATAAGTTGAATTTGTTATTCGTTCACTGGCAACGAGTGTTTAATTTACAGCAAAATAAACTAAAATAATTATGAAATATTGTAGAATACAACTTATTAAAACGGCTACTGAAAGGTAAAAGTAATTGTAGAGACTCCAATTCAGAACGCAATAACTTACGTAAATCTGTAAACGCAATGGGCTACAGTAAGCAAGTGAAAACTGTCTATAAGAACGGCACCACACTGGAAGATGTTAACTTTGCCTTCGACTTTTAGGACAGCTCCCTATAGAGAAAGTAAAATTAGACAAAGAAATATTGAAGTGTAAACACACACACACACACAATTCTTTGGGAGAAAGTTCACTATTGAAATGGGTTTATAAAAATTATAATAAGCAGGTTACAAATATTTAGTTAGATAAACCTGAATAAGACATTAAACCAGTTAGTTGCCTTATACAATTTTTGAAGCAATGAATGGTAATTAAAAAAGAAAAAAAAAGTTTGTGGTGTTAAGGTTTCAATTACTGAAGTAGAAAACCGTATCAGAAAACAGTTTATTTCAAATAAGAATTAGCCATAAAGAAGTTAATACATGTACTTAAAATTTAGTCTAAAATAGTGCGAATTTGTAAGTAACTGTTTATCCATTCATTAAATACACTTTTTTCTTACCTGCCAAGGCCACTCTCCAAACTCGGACAGATTTTTACCATTAGGACTCAAAATACGCTTGTTGATGCCATTGACTTTCCTGAAGCCACATTGACGAGTATATGGTTTTACGGTGGATGTTGTTGGTGCAATACAACATACATGAAAGTTACCACACCCTCTTCGGCCTTCTGGACTCAGGTGGGCAAACTAGAATAAAACAGAAAGATCATCAAGACTCCCGTTTCATACGCAGACTGAAAGACAAAAAAACACAAGTAATTTGTTCCAGTTCGTACTTTCAATATGAAAGATATGTTACGGGATGAGAGCTGTACGGTCTTTGACCCGAACTTACATTGTTAGAACGCCTATAATAGCTTACTTACTAAACGGTGTACCGCAGCTCAAACTTTGGATCCACTGAGCTATAGCTCAACAAGCGGCAACAATTAGGCCTTTTCCAACCTATTGCAGTTAGACTTATTTATATATTTTAAAATAGTTTAACTTATACTGAATGTAATTTCAAAGTAACGAAATTATATACAATCAAAATATCACGAGATAATGGATAGGACAAAATTATATATTTAACAATAAAAATATTTCATAATTGATAATTCTTAGTAGTAGTGATTTCGCATTTAATTACATAAAGCCAGTAAAGTAAGAATACAAAAAAAATAACTCAGCAAGACAGAGTATTAATGAAATTGCGCTACTTACCATCTGTAATTAAAGAATGACCTCATGACCAATATTTAAACCCTTCCTCACGTGATACGACACAGAGTTAATTCTCAGATTACAAGATGATCTTTTCCAACAATAACGTCAGAGATATATTCTACGTATATGTTGATCTAGGATTATATTATGATGATTATTCTTCTCGTTAATAATAATTACATAGTGTGCTAATTTCGAACAAGCTAAAGTGTTAATGCTGTTCACCACCGCCCGACATTAACAACACATACTTAACTGATAAACTCGGTGTGTTAGAAAAAACAACAACAAAGTTTAACAATAAAAAAAGGATAACGATACTTAAAATATACAATGTCGTTACCTCGAGTTTTTTTGGAGTGTACCATTTCTTTTCCTAGGTTGACTTACCAAATCGGGTTCTTTGGAGGGTACTGGTTTTTTCCTAGGGTCGAGTACGCCAGAACCATCAGTGATGATATTGTCGTCCTTACACACGTAATAAGGTACACACTCGCAATTACCAAAACCGGAGTGGGGGTTGTCAACTCGACTATTAATACTCCCGTCATCGTTATCGCTGTTTGAACCACCCCAGATTGGTCCGTCATCGTCTTGTGGATAAGCCAACGCCGTTTCAAAAAGGAAAGTCATCAGCAACAACACTTTCATTCTCTGTTGCAAGTATGAAAGAAAAAAAAAAAAAGGTTTCACGAAAGGTTTGTCTCCCCCATGAAACAAACATTCTTTAATTTAAAAGAAAAGTTAGGTAGAAATAACATGTTGGAATACTTAAGATGTGCTGCGGAAAGGCATTATAACACAGTTTTACCAGTTCCACCATTTTGAAATAAAGATTTAGATAAAACATTATACTTCATACAATGTTAAAACGTATTAAAGAAAAGCTTTGAGGGTTTCCACTACTTTAAACTGAGAAAGCGAGTGAACTGAAAAATCTGGTGTTCCCGAGATACAACACACGTCCGTAGAGATGATACATAATAGAAACGTCGAAACTAAAATCACAAAGACACTAGAAAGGATAATAATAATAAAGTTATCAAAAAGAATAAGAGCATAGATATTTAGAGTTTTCTTAAAATATAGTTTAAATAAAATAGCACTTGCAATTTTTGAAAATCAGATATCTATTAAAGTTCATAGTTATCTAAATAAAGTATACATAATCTTAAATACACGTGTCTGAAATGAGGGGGTTTAGTACTCTCCATACTAAAAGTTTGTAGTTTTACCTATATGCAAAATAATTCAGATTGAGTGAAATATTAATTAGTTACTTAACTAGCACAACAAAAATTAAAAAAACTAAATATTTTCTTTTGGAAAGAATATCGCCATTTTTCTGGGCAGAATTACAGTTTAGCTTAATATCTACTACAATTATCATGCTCAAGGTAAATTCCTTCCCCTTTGATTTCAAGATCATTCATTATGAGCGGTATAAATGATACATGTATTGTCATTGAGTAATATTTCTGAAAGATGTTAACCAAGCAAATAAGCTCACTAAATTAAATTAAAGCAACTAACTTAAACATAAAAACGAAGTGTTATTATAAATGTATGTTATAAAAGAATTAACAGAAAAATAAAATGTTTATAAACAAAGATTAAACGAGTTGGAAAGCTGTTAAAAACGTGTCGAAAAACAACAATCATACCTTACAGTTTACAAACTGACTACGCTATTTCAAGTGACACAAACTCTCCAGCTCTTCATTTTATACTTACCCTAACCGGTTCTGAGGGTACTACTTGCGTAGAATTGTCTAGGAAAGGGTCTTCGTTTTCACTGTCACGTGAAGAGAACCAATACAAATAGACGTGGCAAGGCTAATAATATTCAAATCGAAAGGCCTGCGGTAATTATGCTGCGTCAACAAAGTCAAATACTTTCCAAGAAGCTACAAAAACAAACAAACAAAAAGAACTGAGTTACGTAAAATTTAAAACTTTTATACCTGTTTTGACAAATCATTGTAATTATTTTAGTCTTAGTCTGAGCCAAAGTATGGATACAAATTTAAAAATGTTAATAATTCAGCTTTGTACTCTTGAATTTCTTGTTTCAATACATTTTATAGCATTAAAACTTTCTATATTCCTGTAGCTAGCTAGGTTACGTATATATCTATCCCTACTTACCTATCGTTATAAAATTTAATTTTTGTATTGTACTTGCTTGTTTTCTTTTTATTAGGTAAAACTTTGTGCGCCAGCAAAATCAAGCGTGGGGCGCGCGTATAACCGATTCGATTTTATTACTCATCAGGATCTCTACCAACATACCCTCAAATCTAATCATGTGTCCAAAGTAGTGCATCAGCCGTTATATATATATATATACTAATATCCTTTTCGTTACAACAAAGAAATCATTGGGACCCCAGACGAAAGAGTTATGTGAAAGATGTGGAGCGATAAGGCTCGTCATTTTATCTGTACGCCTGTCTGGAAAAATCATTTATTTATTTACTCAGATAAAAATTCGTTGAAATAGTTCACTCTATAAGCATGAATATAGCGAGTTGGGCGGCTATGTACATTAAGCTTTACTTTTGCTCAGCCAATACTGTGAAATAGTTATTATTAATATTCAGACATTTTAAAGGTGGTTTTAAACGGGCGATTATTATGGCAGCCATCTTATTTCATCACAATCCCTACTATTAACGTAACATAATGTTTTGGGACAAAAAGGGACCTACTAGTCCATCTCAGCTGTCCCATCCTATAAAGTAAAAATATAAAATAAATAACTTAGAAATAAAATAAAGAAATTAAAAAAAATCTTAAAGCTAACCCGTATCATTTATATAATTATCAAGCTTTCGCTTCAACTTTCATAAATTTACTACCTCCACAACATCCGAAGGCAACCCGTAACAAAAGCCAAACACCCTGTTAGAAAAATGAAATTGTCTTAGCTGAAAAATTACTCTTGCCTTGCCAACATTTGTATTTGTTTCCCATAGTCCTACTATTTATGCCATTAACTATGAAATCAGACGATGCATCAACATTATCAATTCCCTTTACAATCTTAAACACCTCAATCAGATCCCCTCTAACTCTTCTTTTCTCAACATAAAACAATTTCGGAGATTTTATCTTCTCCTTGTATGACAACTTTTCTATCCCAGGAACCATCCTAGTAACCCTTTTGTGAACCCTTTCCAACACTTCAAAGTCCTTCTTAAGGTAAGGAACCCAAACTGAACACAATACTCCGAATGTGGCCTAACCAATGACCTGTACGATGAAAGTATAACCTCTTTAGACTTGTACTCAATACTTCTGTAGATACAACCTAAAATCCAATTTCCCTACTACTAGCAACTGCACACTGCTTTGATGGCTTAAGAGACTGATCACGTATTACACCAAAATCCCTGTTAAGGTTATTCCCATCGAAATTATACATATAATTTAAATTATGATAACCCACATGCATTGTCCTGCAATTATTATAATTAAACTCATCTGTCCTTTATTTGTTCAACTCACCCCTTTTTAAAGCAGCAACATCCCCTTCACAGCTAGCAACACCCAAGACCTTAATATAATTTGAAAATGTAAGTAATTTATTGACCATTCCTTCATCTATGTCATTGATGAAAATCAAAGAGAGCAAACATCCTAAGACTGAGCCCTGAGGTACCCCAGTTGTGTCATTAATCCAGTTTGACTAAACTCTAATTGTAAAAGCCCTCTACTTTCTTCCGTCCAGCCACTTTTTTATCGAATGAAATAATTTATCCCCCACACCAAGAGAGATAATGTTTTACAAGTTTTTTATGTGACACCTTTTCAAATGCTTTCTGTAGTTCCAAATAAACCAAATCTATATCATTACCCTCATCTATATAAGCAATAACCTTTTCAAAGAATCTTGAAAGAATTGTAAGGCGAGATTGTCCCTTAGTGAAACTATGTTGACTATCTAATAAAATCATGAACTTTTTAATCGACTTTGCAAAGCATCTTTATGAGACTTTCCAAAACTTTTTCCACAAGTGATGTTAGACTAATAGGTCTATAATTACTAGGACAATTTTCATTACCTCTCTTGAAAAGAAAAGTAACATTATCCGACTGCCAACCCTCTGGCACCTGCCAACTATTCAAGGACTTACAAAAATACGAGCAAGTGGGTCACATATATAATCCTTAACATCCTTCAAAACCCTCAGGCAATCATTATCTGGCACAAGAACCTTATCGTTCTTTAAATATCCCAGAATTAATGCAATTATCTTCTTCGATTATTTTCCATTTATCAACTGTTAAAGATGAGTATTACTGCTTAAATTGTTATTAGTAACTGAAGAAAAAGCATAATTTAATAGCTCAGCCATCTCATAACCATCAGATACAGGCCTTCCTTAATCACTGTTCATAGGTCCTACCCCATCCTAACATTTTGTTTAGTCTTAATGTATTTAAAGGAATTTTTACTGTTAATTTTTACATTTTGAGCCAACCTTTTTTCACGCTTTCTTTTTGATCTCCTAATTTCCTGTTTAAGTTTCGTCTAAGTTTCCTATCATATCAGTCAATTTAAATTCTTTAAATTTGTGATGCTTTTCTTTAATTGTATTTCTTATACCCTTTGTGAGCCAACCTGGTCTTTACTTGCAGCTACCCTTCTCTTTCTATAAGGAATATGTTTATCTTGAATATCTAAAAAAATATCTTTAAAAATGTCCACATTTGATTATTGTCTCCAAATAATTCAGTTGCCCAATTCACAACAGATAATTCTTTTTGCATCCCTTCAAAATTTGCTTCTTTGAAATTTTTAACCAAAATATTATGCAACAAAACATTGAACCTAATAAAGCAATGATCACTTTCACACAGATGTTCCCCAATTTCTACCCTCTCAGCCATTTCTATATTAGAAGTTAACAATAAATGCAAAATAGCATTGTTTCCAGTAGGTTCTTTGACCATTTGGTGAAGAAAACCATCTTGAAGAGGTTCCAAAAACCTTTCTCTCTCATGGTTTGAGTGTAGCAATTCCCATTCTGTATGCTTGAAATTAAAATCATTACTGTACTTAAAATATGCTTATTTTAAATAATTAGCATATATATCAAGATTAAGGTCGACTAATTTGCACATTGAAACGATATTTCTCTAATTTTTTGTTTATTTAGTAATTTCTTGTTACAACAGTACTAAATACAGACAAGCAAGTTGAGATAATCTATTCTAATAACACTCAGTTTTTTCTATCCTGAAAGTGCGCGCGCACTTCATTTCAACGAATGTAAGCGAAAGGATGTGAATATACTTTAGTAGGCATTTTGTACAACAACATGTTAAAAGCTTATCAAAGTTAAGAAAAAATCTAACATTAGGTCGTAGAATAACATTATAAGCTTATTTACTGATAGTATTAATTTATGTAAAGTTTAGCCCTAACTAAACTAAAGAAGATGCATAATTAGTTACAGTGTTAATTTCTTTCTTTATCGAATATAAGCCGTACTTAATAAAGACTTAACTATTGTTAGGCCTAAAACAAATGGACTTACAGATTTCGGTGTCTGCGATTAGAATTTTTTGTATTATTCTAGAAATCTTGAATTTAAAGTACTTTGGTAATAAAGATAGTAAGCTGAACGCAAATGTTTTGCGGG